GCAAGGTGATGAGAACCTTTCTGTGTCTGATTTCTAAGTAGAAATCAGGTTGGATGGTATTCTGAATTTTGGAATATAACTGCTTAACTTCAGGAGAAAAGAAAAAGACTGACTATAGAGGGGTAGACTTAATTTATTGACTATGTCAGGGTACTCTTAGATTTGTTGAACAATTATGAACATAATTATGACTGAATACTTCATTTTGAGGTCGCAAGAATTTGTGAGATTTGAGTATTTGACACTTCAGCCTGGTTGAGTGGCTGTCAATCCTGAATGAATCTTACAAATTACAGGAAAAAGTATCTGAAGAAGATAGCCAGATGCAAGAAGCATCACAGTAATGAAGGAGCCATGAACGTTCGCAAGTGGCAGACTGGGCGGTAGGATGCCGACTAAAGAATTGCTGCAAATACCTGGGTTATGGACAAGAAAACTTTTGTCGTCTATTCTGATTATGGCCAAAAATTTAATTGAACTGCACAGGTAATGCTGCTATTTCTTTTTATCATCGACTACTTAACAGTTGATGCACTTGGCAACAATTTTGCCAAACGCCAGTTCCATGCTAACCAATCCTTTATTTATTTATTTATTTTAAGGTTCTGGATTGTTCTTTTGATTTAAAGAATTTGGGGAATCATGAATGAACCGTCAAAGCTAGCAGTTTCATGCATGACTGCTGCTGTAAGAAACAAAAACTTCTCTCCTCCAATGACCCCAAGAAAGTAAAAGGAAATAGAAGCAAACAAAACATTTCAAATTATTAAGCCAAACGTGTTATTTAATTTTATTTTTAAAAAATAATATTCAATAAATTTAAAATTTAAATCTCAAAAGTTACTCTATTTTTTTAATTTTCAGATTACTTTTTCCTTGCAAGTATAAAAGAATTATTAAGCTGACGCTAATTTAATTGTTCATTAGTTTCTTTTTTGCCTAACGACACAATTTTTCAAAAACGATGGAGAAAAGTACAACCTCCGATGGAGAAAAAGGAGAAACAAAGAAATTTAAAAAAAAAAAAGAAGAATTGGTCGGTGGATAAAATTTATCATCATTGTAAAAGAACAACAATGAATATAGTAAAAAGGTAAATGTACGTGAAATCATTTACACATCCTGTGTACAAACCATGGCAAAATTTGTTGTCTCATAAATTGAATTTTGACCTCTTACAAACATGAGACTGTACAGAGAAACAAGATAATTAAATAAGCTATGGACACAATCGGTTTTGTTCTGGACTTTCGGTAATTAATCAAGGTTCTACAAACTCTTCCTGTCTGAATCCATAATCCTTCATCAAACATCATCATCGTCATCACCCCACCACAACATGAATATCCAGAACTGGTTTCTCAAGGCACAGCTTTGTGCTAAAACCGTGAATGTTTGCGGTACAATTAAGCCTGTTGATCATTTATTAAATCTCGCTATGCATAAAGCAGCCCCAGCTGCTGCTAATGAGTGATGGCAACTGGTAATAATAATTTCAAGGTTCACCTTCAACCCAATCTCTCTTTTCAGTTTGGCAGTGGAAAGTTAAAATGAAAGCCCTGCTGACTTGATGGTTATCGTCGTTTTCACATCCATGACCAGCTCAGCTTTGCACTTTCAATTATTGATGTTTTGTTACAATATCCAAGCTTGCCAATGCCTCAAATTTTTGTTGGTGGCCCTATTTATTCAAATTTCACACAGTTTTTACATCAGTTCATGGAAATATAAAACAGCTGATCAGCAACTTACAAATTAAAACCAAACTAATTGAACTTATTTATGTTCATCGATCTATACCTCTATATATCTTAATTTACATATTAGCAATTTTCAGATTTATACATTGACAAGCTAGTAACTTGAAAACAATAATATAATAACAAAAGAAAAAAAAAATGAAGCAACTAACTTTGGCCATATTAATTGTAGTGGGGTACTTGTGAGGGGCCTCATTTTGCTATTGGTGCACATGGCAAGACTTGGGTGTACGCAACCACCAGCCCTAGCTACATGCATTTGATCCTTATCCAACTGCCCTAATGGCAGCTGCGGATCTGATATCAGTGCCTTCTCTAGAGGTGTTTAGGCTTCCGAGTTAATTTCTTTCGTGTGCTAAGCCAATAATATAAGTGAAATAGCTTCATTGGGGTGAAAAATGCAATTATATAAACTTATAACCCTAGACTGAGAAGGTATTACAGTCCAGTATCATTATCAAGACATCCCTGACATTTTTCTACAGGAAAACAAAAATGAATTTCTAGCTTTTGACCCTTCGAAAGATAGCTTAGGTAGAGTTGTGGTTGAACCATACCAATAAACATCTCCAAGCAAAATCTGGAAATTCCAGCACTATGATCTTAATCTTGTTGGTGGTGTAGCTCGATTTCCTGGCAGATGCGACATAAAGGGGTCATTCACCTAATCTAGATATGTGGCCATGGATTCATATTCCAAATCAGTCGAAAAACATTGTCTACTAATATATGTAGATGGATGTGATAATTTTTCATATATGTACAATATATAAAAGACCAAATCGAGAGAGAAAACTTTGGTTATATGCTAATGCATGAGTTCATGTTTATATTAATCGAAAGGGTTGTTAAATTTAGGTCCGAATTCGACAAATTTAGGCTTTCTATCTTGTATTATAGTATCTGGAGAATTGAAGTTTGGTGGCAAAAGAACTTTTGGGGGATTGAACAATGTATGCGGGAGTATGTAATTTGTTTGGAATTTGAGCTAGTCCTATTAACTTAATTTAATTTGTCTAATCAAAATTTTATGTGGAACTTTCTTCTTAGTGACAATTGGCATTACATATGTGGAGATGCAAGCCAGCTCATACAGTATAGCCTCAAAAGCGTCAACTTGAGAATTTAATGAAGGAGAACATTTGGTTTATGCGAGGAAAAATTCTTAAAAGATTCCATGGAATAGAGGAATTTAAACTACGTTGAATTACCCTATACCAAAGGCTGGAACTCGAGAAAGCTCCGATAACAAGCACCAAAACCAAATTCTTCAAGACTCCATGGAATCGAAGAAGGCTTCGACGATTCCATGTGAGGAAGGGACCCCCTTGATTTGGTAAAGAGAAGTCATTTCTAACATGTGAGGCGCCTTCATTACAAGGTACTATTTTTTTAAAATAACATGTTTCGAGCCACCATTTCTTGGTTGCAGTAAGATCGTAATTCGTCCTGGACCCAGATAATGAGGGACTCATCTCTGGTGCCTGACCTAAGTGTTGGAAATCAACTCAACTACTACCAAACTCTGCATGATTGAACGATCACCCATGAAATTTATGGGTCCCTAGAAAATATATATATGAAATTTAGATATACTTCTTTTACAATAGACTGTAGTTCTTCCAAAAAAAGTTAGAGCAAAGAGATAATAAAAGTTTTTTTATTGGGTTTAATCACTTTAAATATGAATTGTACAAAACAAAAGTACTGTGGTTATCTCCTTGTCTTTCCTTTGCCTGAATTTACTCTATGCGGTTATTTGGACCACTGAGGCTTGCCCTAATAAACTTGTGTTGAGCACAGCTTCAGTTTTGGGTTTCTTCAGCTCTTTCACTTTATTCAGAGCAATGGTTCGCTTCTCAATGTCTTGACTCCATCGGCATTTTACTATCGTTATCAAGAATGTGCATTGAGTTGCCACGCACCCAGCAACAGATCTGACGATCCTGATGCTATTTATAAATGACATAAATTCAATGAATTCGTAAAAGAGGGTCATTTTGTTGCACCATTTATTATAACTCATCTTTCTCTTTGTTGAGTTTTGCGTTTCAAAAACTCATTGGGCGGTGAAAATATCAGAAGTAGCATTTGTTCTTAAACTGGCCAATCAGACCCATTGAAGATGTCGGTTTGAGGCTGTTCTGCTGCCTGCTTCCAACTTGTGACCCCAATTAAAGGTAGGCCTCAAAAAATTTTTTTTCTTTTTATACAAGTTGATATTAACAACACAGTTTAGTTACCTTATCAAGAATCAACCATCAAAGGCCAAAAAAAATTAAATAAATAAATCTTTATATCATAAAATATGCAGCATAAGCTGACAGCACTGTAAACCCTAGATTGCTACCTCAAACCATATGCACTTATATATGTTATGAAAGAGTTGCATATCCCTGTTCCCACTAAACAATGTGGGAGTGATGGAGAGATTAGTGTATAAATTATAGTGACAGAAGAGGAAAAAAAAAGGGTAAAAATGGTGGTGAATTGGATGGTGGCGTAGATGATAAGGGGATAACTGAACGGTAGAAATACAGTGAAACTGGTAAAGATCAAAGTAGAAAAAAAGAATTAATGGGTTTGCGTGGTGGTGGAGAAGGGGACCCCATCGAACCATAGGGTGTAGCAGGGTGACCCATTTCTTTTGTGGGTCAGAGCTTTCTCTCTCAATGCTTGTAAGTGTAGTGTGAGTCATTGGGAAATGATAGAGAAAAAGGCTTTGGATGTTAAAAGGGTAATCTATCTATAATCTATAACTAAAAGAAAGCATGAAATGGGTTATTCAATTTGCATGTGATGAGCTATGTAGGTGATAGTTTTTTAAAACTTTTTATTTTATTTAATAACTATTATAAAAATAAATAATAAACATAATAATATTAATTCAAAATTTTGAAAAATAAAAAATAGCAAAATTAATCATAAAAAATAATTAAAAAAATTAAACCAAAATAAAAAGTTCTCATCTGAATTATACTTAAACCCATATCTACAGGTAAAAAATTAAATACATATAAATTTACTATTATATTTTTTCGTTTGCAATTAACATTTTCAAAGCACTTAATTTTTTAAAAGTTTTGTGAAGTTGTTTGTGATGTGTTAGTAACTTTTTAATATATGTTTGAATTTTTTTATTTGTAAGTAGTATTTAAAAAAGATAAAGTTAAATATAATATATATATATATATAATTGAAATAGAAACAGAAAAGTGATAGTGATGATTGCTCCTTCTCTTTCATTGCTCAGCTTCTTTTTATCAGTGTCTCATCTTCAAAAGCCATCACTTTCTTCGTTCAATACTTCCTCAACAATTCTCTCTGCACAACAAAACAAGAGAACCGCTACTTCCCATTGGGCTTTTCTTCTATTCTGCTTCCACGCAGAAGTAGCGGCCGCTTTCTCCATTCATCAGTTTCACTTCATTTTCTCTGTTTGCCAGCTAACAACTGCATCCCGCCCCCTGTTTATTTATACCGTCTTCAATTTTGCTTCCAAATTAAACCCACTTTGGTCTTGGGTCTTTGCGCCCCATATATAACCACATACTCTCTCTTTCCCGTACTTTTTCTTTGTACGTTCAAAGAAACAATCCGTGGCGGACCAGTTAGTTATATACAGTTCTAGTGACTCTAAGTCACCGCTAAGAGAAAAAATGAGCGAGCCACAAAATTCAGAGACAGAGAGCAGCTGCTCCAACTCTTTCTTTTCTCCTCCGCTATCGCCCTCATCTCCCAGGTCAACTCATTCAACACCTAACTCGGCCCCTAGCTCAACCGCCTGTCAAAACGCTAAACCTGAATCCACCTCGGGTTCTAATAGAAAGATGAAGAGAATGAGGGATTCAAGCAAGCACCCAGTTTACCATGGCGTCCGAATGCGAAACTGGGGCAAATGGGTGTCAGAAATCCGCGAGCCACGCAAAAAATCCCGCATTTGGCTAGGTACTTTCCCTACCCCTGAAATGGCAGCTCGTGCACACGATGTGGCCGCTTTAAGCATCAAAGGAAACTCGGCTATTCTCAACTTCCCTGAACTGGCTAACTCTTTACCTCGACCAGTGTCTTTGGCACCCCGCGACGTCCAAGCCGCGGCAGCCAAAGCTGCCCAGATGGACAAGTTTGACTCTCCATCATCTTCCACAACATCGTCTTCCACATTGTCATCATCGTCATCGCTGTCATCTTTGGTTTCTCAGATGGACTTGTCTTCAGGGTCAGACGAGTTAAGCGAGATAGTGGAGCTGCCAAGTCTTGGGACAAGTTATGACTCGATTGAGTTGAAGAATGAGTTCGTGTTTATGGACTCGATGGATGGATGGTTTTACCCTCCACCATGGCTTCAAAGCGTGGAAGATTGCGGGTATGTTTGTGATCAGTTAGTCGTGCCAGAGAGCGTTTTAAAAAATGGTTTCGAAGAAGGTTTGCTATGGGATTATTAGTGTTTTCTTTTTTCTTCGTTTGTGAATGTGAGTGTGTATTTTTCTGCTCCTTTTTTTTCCCGTTTTAAGCCCTTTTGCTTTTTCTTTGAAGGGCTAAAACTCTGTCCTTTTCTCTCTGTTTTATGTGATCTCTTTCAATGAATCCCACTGTAAAGTGTTTAGAATGGGAAGAAGAGGAAAGTGTCATAAATTTCTTCCCTTTTGGCTTGATCCTTACACCTTTCTTTCGAGCTTCAAATCTAGTTTTCAACAATCAAAATTTATGCCAAGATAAATGGGAAATGAACCATGCTTAAAAGCTTATTCATTTCAAGGATATAACAACAGATGCCTGACACTGGAAAGCTCCAATTCTCCTTGCCATGAAAGCTGAGGTTTGGTTTTGGCAGATGCCAGATGGTGAAACCCGATGAGGTGTGAAAGTGACAATTTTCCCCCGTTAGGGTAACAATATCTACCAATCTATCTAACTTTTTCTATACTTTTTAACTTTCCATAAATAATACTTTCTCTTCTGATCTTTCTTTTGCATCGCCATCGCATCGTCTTGTGCTGTTCGGTCAGTCGGTCAGTTCAGTTGTTCTTGGATTTTTGTTCTTCATGAGACTCAGTTGAAAATGGTGGCTCTAGAATTTCCCTTATGCGTGGATATAATAGATGAACAGCGCAAAAAACTTGTTCATCTTAAGAATGAACTATGATATTGATTTTGATTAAATTAAAAAAAATTATTATTATAATTATGATTAAAAAATCATTATAATTATGATAAAAAAATTAATAAAAAAATTTATACTGTTTAAATTTCAAACATTTAAATTTAACAAATAATAATTAAAGTGCAATTGCATCACAGGATTAATTTGGGTTTGGATAATCCAATCCTTATTTCCCTATCAAATAATTAAGAAGTTGAAAATTCTGCCAGCAGCGTTAGAGAGATGTCTTTAAAACGATGTGACGGATGTCAGGAATTTTCTCTTGCCTACGTCGTCTTTGTTGAATTAAAAAGGTTGCCTTCTTTAGAAAGCACGACTAGCTTTTTCCTTTGTTTAATAATAATAATAATTAATAATCCTTTTAAACCAGATTTAATCAAAATCCATAGAGGATTTTGGTGGGGTCCTTTTTTTTTTTTTTTTCATTCATGGTTGACCTGCCTTAATTTTTATAGTTGGATGGCATTATCGCCATATTCACCAGAAATGCATTTAGCCAGATTATGCCCACGTACGCCCAACCCCGCTCCTTTTTTAAGAGACAAAAATTTTAAAATAAAAATTTAATAATCATTTAAATTTATAATTACATCTTAAATTTATTTTTATCTAATTAAATTATTATATATTTTTTTTGAAAATAAATATTTAAAAATTTAATTAATTAAAAAAATAATAATTCAGATAATTATTAAATTTCAATTTAAAATTTTTTTTCTTTTTGAAAAAAAAAATTGATTCTTTATCTTGATTTTAATTCCACGTTAAGGAATCCTTGTTTGTTATTTGTTAGCAGTGACTTTCCATTATCATCACTCTGGGGCCAAGAATTGGGTCTTCTTTTTCCATGTCTTTTCAACTTTTCTAGTCCATTGTGCCAAAGGAATAGTTTAGTGCTTTTTTCTGCTAATCTGATTAATGACAGAGGACACATGTTATGCATTATCTTTGGTTAAACAAATTTTAAATTAAACATAATAAAAAATATTTGTGATTTGTTCATGAAAGTGATCAATTTCAATTAGGATAAAAATAAATATCCGAAAACATTGTGATATATATATATTAATACTATTTTTGGTACGTTTATAGCTTTCTATTCTGGGTGATGCTAAACAATTTCCAGTATTTTGCCAACCAAACTGCAAATTGATGAAAAGCATGTATATTCTTCCAGCGAAGGGGAAAGTTCAATGTACATGAATGTCTGTTTCATCCAGGTCAGATGGGAGCTCAACGCTCAATTCTTCAAATTATTTATTGAAGAAAACGACAGAAATCCAGCTCCTGTATTGATTTTCTGTGTGCTCATCTCTGCACTCTAGCTAGCCTTGTGCAAGATTATTTTGAACACGAAAGGCTCTATTTTTAATATATATATATATATATATATATGGATATGTTGACGACCATGATGATTAGTAATCTTGTTTAAACCTCCCCCAAATTCTAATGTTATTCTTTTCTTTATTCCATATTTATTACTATGGAATGTTGTACATCAGAAAAAAATGCCGGTCAGGTTGCGGCTGCTTATGAATGAGGCCATATGTTGGACAATCCACACAAACAAATGGTGCACAAATTAGATCACATATCATATGGCTAGAGTAGTATATTGTTGCTGCTTTTTCTTGTCAACACCTACCTAAAAAACCAATTTCAAAAAAAAAAAAATGTTTTGAACTTCTAAGTTAATTATAACTATTGTTTAAAAATATACTAATTATAACATTTGATTTAATAAATAACGAGTTTTTTCTACTCAAATTAAAACTGGATTCAAATCCCTTTATTTCAGTATAAAATAAGAAAACATGTATTATAAAAAGTAAATAAATTATTATTAATTAATTAAGAAAACTTATATATTTAATTTCAAAAATAATATAAATATTAAATTTATATTTAATACACTGTCAGCATACAAATTATATATATATTATCAATAAATTAAATAAAATAGTATCATTTGATTCACTAATAATATATAAAATTTATATATTGATAATATATCAAATATAAACTTATAAATATTATAATCTTTGCAATTGTTTCTTACATGTTAGTAAGAAAAATGTGAGATGAGCCTAGGATTTATTATATATAGATGGTTCATTTACCTTTCTTATAAAAGGATTCCTATAAAATCGAATTTCGATTCTCAACATTTGTAAATTCTTCTTCTTTAATTCTCGTTGGATCATTGCTTCCTAGGAAAAAAAAAGTGAGGCTTTAAAGACAAAACATACTTTATCACATATCTTTCCCTTCTGAAAAATGAAGCCAAATAGTGAATGCCACCATATCTTGAATGGGGTATGTTATCAATTTCGTGAACTTCATATAATTTTTTTTGTACGTATCTCTACAACAAATTCAGAGGCAAAAAAAAAAAAAAAAGAAGAAAAACCCACCATGTTTATGGGATTTTTGTTCATTTTCGTAGTGGACAATTTAATTTTTCTAGACACCTCAAATAATTGATAAAATCAGAAATGAAACTTTTCAAGTGAATCTTCTTTGATCTCTGTATATACATACATACAATATCTACATGAATCTAAAATAATTCATGATAGATATCAATCGAACCCCACCCATATCAGACACCAAAATCTTGAAGCCCACTTCCCATCTTTCTCTTTGATTTTTGGACTCGTTTTCTCCATCTGTATCAGATTTATTTGTACGAGAAATGATATCCCTTCTTGACCCCATCACATAGCTGTGAGAGAAAGATTTCAAAGCTTCTTCTTCTCACAAATTGGCCCCATTACTTGCTATAGGATTTACCCTTTTATATTTTTCTTTTGTTTTGTCTTGTTATTGATGATTTTTCTTTCAATGTCTTTGTTCAATGAGTAATGAGATATCTCTCTTTCCTTTTTTTTTTTTTTTAACTTTTCTTCTTTCTTCTTTTTAGAAAAGATTAAGTATGGGTTTTGTTTTACTTTTCTTTAAAGGAAACTTTTATTTACATCCTTACATGTTTGGGGTCAAGGTTATGTTTGTTTCATTTCAACATGAAAAGCCATATTTATATACATTGTATTTTTCTATTCATGTTTTTCCTTTTATCACATCCACATGACAAAAATAAATGAAGAACATATGCTTTGTCAATAAGATATTAGATTTCTGGTATATTTAAATTTTATATTAAATAGGTAAGACTTTTTTAAAGTGTCTAATTATATGTGAAAACTGGTCAATTGTCATGTGTTAAAAGTATTACTTAATGCTGCATTAAAAATAGTAAAACATATCAGATTTTTATTGAAATTTAGGTTATGTTATATAGCTTAAATTAAAAAAAAATTGAATTTCAAATTTAATATAAATTATGTGATAAAATATATGTAAATATATCTTCTATATTTACATTATTTTTAATAAAATAATGGGTTTTCTATAGTTCATGTTCAATAGATTGTATAAATACTTAACTCTAATTGCTGCATTTATTATACTAAACTAATTAAAATCAATAATTTTGGAGGTTTCTATACTTCCTACTAGAAGATAGACAAATCCCACAACAAAAAAAGGAATTGAAAGTCAAATTCTAATCCTGGTGTATAACTATATTCACAGTACCCACAGATTTGAAGCATGGATTAAGCTTGAGTAGTTGGAGCTTGCAAGATGAGAGTTTTTTACTTATGCCATAATAATTTTTTTGTTTAGGGGACTCGAATGTTAGATTTAGTGAAAATTTATAAAATTGCCATCAATTTTTTTGTAGAGTGTGATTAATTACTCAAAAATATCATCTTTTAATAAAAATATTAAAAATTAATTAAGATTTATTAAAAAAAATTTAGGTCTATGAAATCATAGTTAGGTCTAGAAATACAGTTACGAGTAAAAAAAATATTAGTACCCTCATGTCACCATACAAAGAATAGTACCAATTAAATATTTATAATCTTTTAATTTTGATGATATTGTATTCTTTATATTTAAATTTAATTTCTTAAAATTTATTTATAAAAACATCTTTTATTGTGAAATTAGTATTATTATTATTGTACTCTATAAATTTTCCAACGCTTTAGCGAAATTTATAAAAATATTTATTTAGAAAACATTTCAAAAAGATTGATCACTCACAAACATGCTCAAAATTTTGTCATAGAATATTTTAGTTATGTATTAAAAAATGATTTTAGAAACATCCTGACTCTTTGATAAGTTCTCAAAATTTATTAAATAGATTTTAGGATTATCCCAACTCTTTGGAGAAATCCTAACAAATTTTAGGAGCATTTCAACTTTTTGACGAGATCGTAAATAAAATTATTTTTTATTGATTATAATTAAAGGATTTAATTAATTAATTAATTCTTATTATGGTTATTTTAATTTTTTGTTTATTATTTGTATCTTTTTTATTATATAAATAAATTTTAAATTATCCCGACTTATAGGCGAAATCTTAAAATATTAATTTTTTACTTGTATTAAAGAAAATCAAATTTTTTAAATTTTGTTTAAAAATTACTTTGCAATAATTAAAAAAAAAAAACAAACTCTTTCAATTTTCTTTAAAAAGTATATTTAAAATTTCACTTAAACAATTTATCATTTCTTTTTTCTTTTATTTACCTTGATATTATTTTTAAAAAAAATTTTTCATTGATTTTTTAGCAAAAAATTATTTTAAAAATTATCCCAACAGTTTGGTGAAATTTAAATAACATTTTTGCTTACAATAAAATTTTATTTTCCTTAAATAACTATTATTAATATTAGTTTTTTTAAAGATTTATGCATATTATATTTTTTTAGGTCTATATTTTATTTTATTTATTTATTTCTAAAAGAATTATTACTAGTAATAACATAAAATAACAATAATAATAATAATAATAATAATAATAACAATATCATAAAAAATAAAAAACAAACAAAATAAATAAAAATCAACACAAAATAAACAAAGTAAAAATCAAAACAAAAAAGAAAAAGAAAAAGAA